TTGAATTTGAATTGAATTGAATTGGTTATAATTTACAACGATTCAGATTTTTCATACTGCTATTGTCCTGTTCACATTTGAATCTTCTATGTGCAATAACAAGTAGTGCAATAATATCAATCAACATGTCGATCAGTAGGATCATAATGTCAGTCAGCGCAACATTTATCTTTTGTATCTTTTAAATTATTTAGCTTTTTTACTCATTTTATTAGTGTGTGTATGGCTCCCTAAAGAGAAGGTTGTGTGTTGTTCTTTTTTTTACTCTTCATGTTTTTATCATTCTATTTGTGGTCTTAGTGCCCTTTAAGCTGAGAGCTACCAACCAAATTTTATCATGTGTATGCATAATGACAATAAAGAATTCAATTCAATTTTGTGACATTTCCCTTCCATGTGGAGCCATTGCTGACAGCACGAAATGGGAATGTTATGAGTGTGGTGGTCTGTTGAATTGTCTTGGTTTTATTTTCAAGCACAGATGAACACACTGCCTGTTGAATGTAACATGCAGCCAATCAGAAAGAGAGATGTTGAAAGCATGTTGCAAGCTCCTCCTCTGCTGTTTGAAAAGTGAGATATCTTGTCGGACCAAGGAATGTTCGTGAGTGAAATGCTTGTGTGTATTTGTTTCTGCACACAACACACTGTAGGACCAAAACTCTCAAGCTTTGAAAATCAAAAACTTTCTAAACTTATTTTAGTTAAGTTCACTGCTTATTTCATTGTGACCGAAAGGCTGATGAGGATGTCAAAGAGCTTTAAATAAAGAAATATATACATATTTCAATGAGTGCCCTATAAGGGTTAAATACAACTCAGGCATTCATTCAGTGGGTGCACGGATAAGATGTAACTATTTTCTCTGTAAACTTCCCAAATAAGGGTGGTGGGTTATATTGGTGCTTGTTGCTTTTGTTCATGTTGCACATGCAAAGCTGTCAGCAGAATAATGCTGCACAAAACGTCAGTGTCAGTAAACTTTATTTCTCTTCTTCTTAATGTTAAAGGCCATTTTCTAACTAAGCAAAATTATACATTCTTTTTTATCCTCATAGTAATGAAAAGACTGAACTAATTTGTAAGATGTGTGTTTACTTTTGGAGCCAACTAGGCGCTACAGTTAACTGACCTAATATAAACAAAAATAAAAATAAAAACAAGACTATAGACTATAGTTTTACAGATATCGAGCTAAATGCTGGTGGTCGTGGCTGAGGGTCCTCCACTTCTCTGACCTCTAACCCTGACCTCTGAACATTGCACAAGTTTTATTTGTGTTCTGGATCTTTGCACAATTTCTCACAAATCACTTGACAGATCTGACAGAAAACCTACAAAAAATTCTTCAGTGGATATACATCTACAAACAGAGTAAACCCAGGTTCTTAGTTTTAAACTCCAGCAAGGGAAGTGAGGTGCGATTTGTATTCCTGTTAGGAATGCTAGGCCTTTAATTGATTTCTTTTTGTTTTCACATTTGGTGTGTGCACAATGTCCCCCGTCTCCCGCCCTTTTCTTGGGTGTGACTGAGCATTTACCTATGCTAATAAGTGACAACAGAGTTGTTTCAGAAGGACCTTGGACTCACAGAGACAGCAACGCTAGATGATTTGAAAAGTCCTACTTCTAACAATGATATAACTTTTGCATGAATTAAAATGAAAAAAGAAGTCATACATCACTGAACTTTGCAAAAACTGCCACTGACTAAAAACCTTTTCATTGCATCTATAGAACATGATTCTATATAGAAGTTTGTCTTGCTGTACTGGAATTTCAAAATGGATGTGTTTTGTGAATTAGTGTTGATAATTCTCAACACTCATAAATTGTTAAAGTCATTTTTACACAAAACTGCATGCACACAAACACAAGCAAACAAGGCAAAAAACCCTTGCAAAGATGAGAAGGGATTTCTATTCTGCATGGAGAAAAGCCACTTAGTGGATATAAAGTAGTGCTTTTGTACATTTCATTTATCTCCAGCCACTTGGATGCAGCTCAGCAAGACGTGCATATAGCAGCGGGCGAGGTGGCCTGGAGAGTTGGTGCTTCATCCCCACAGATGAATGAACACTGACCTTCAGCTTGTTGGGCCAGAGTTAAAGCATCATAAACCACACTAAGGAAATTTACCAAACTAAAAACGTCTGTTACAGTCAAGAAAGCTCACATGGCACTGTCTGAACCAATCAGCATCAGGCATAACCTCTCACATTATCAAGGTTTTGTTTGGTAGATCAGTGGTGCTAAACCTTTTCTCCTGTAGGACCCATTTTCCTGTGTCCAAGACAAGCCAGGACTCCCAACCCAACCAAACCTTATAGACTTACAACTCTTATAAAGAGTTTGATTATAAGACGAAAGTAAGGAAGTAAAACAATGCTTGGGGATCCGTTTTATTTGACATAAACACAGCAAACGTGCTTTCTTGACAAATCTTGTCAATGTGTGCAAAGCAAAGTATAAAAATAAAAAGAAACTATGTGTGTTGATACAAAAATAACCGGTGAGTCACGATGGCGCAGGCTTCGCAGTTCTGGTACTTTGGGTTGCTGCGCTGCTTCAACAGTGCAATACCTTCATGAGGGATGAGATATCAAAAATGTTTGATTTTTGTGTGGCTGCACGATTTCTGATCAAGAGCTGGTTGTGAGATGTTAATCACCTCGTGTAACCCCTTATATAGCACGTGACGCTAAACTCGTCACAACCTCAAATATTCTTCAACAAGAGGAAAATCGGCTCAAAACAGTCAAAAAGATGCACAGTGTACGCTCGTCTACTGTTGATGCAACTCCTGTTACTTTAAATAGCACCAAATCACAACAAGAACCCTCTCAAGGCTCTTTACAAAATAAACATTCCAATTGAACCTATTTGCATTAAATTCAAGTCATTATGCTAATTAGTTAACAGTTACTTCTGTAAGAAAACCTGGTACACTGCATCGAGTCACTGACGTGTCAGAGACTTTGCAAGCATGTAGCGACGGTGGAGAGGAAAACTCAACAGAACTTGGCGCAAGATGAACAAATCAATTCCTGGAGTCTAAAGTTTTTTTTTTATAAACCAAGCTTTTTAAAAATGGAAGTTTTATTTCAACAAAACATTTCCTTTAAAAAAGTCCTTTCATCTTTACAAAATACTATTTGTAAAACGTTGTGCAAAGCATTTAGCTCTGTTGCTCATTTCACAGATGCAAAATCCTAACAGATATTATGTGATGGTAAAGAAGAGTAATCCAGCTTTTCGGTGATATCCAATGACGCCAGCTGGAACTACTGAAGGGGAAAAATGACTGGTTGGAAAATGTTTTCATACATTTTTTGAAGAGTTTAAAATGTCAGAACTGTTGATAAACAAATAAGTCTGTTTTGTCAGGGTAATGATTCTCAGTAGCCACTTTAAAAGTCAGTTATTATGTGTGATTTTCTGTTTGTTGTTGTCGGAGTTATTTGCACCCACTATGATTAAAATTGCACCATCAAAATCTCAAATGTCACAGCTTTTCAGCTGCATGTACCTCCTAAAACGCAATGTTTATATGCATATTCAAAACCACTGGGAACATGCTGAACACGTATTTCATTTATAGTTCTGAACAGAACCTAAACTTGGTTTCCAAACAACCTGCATCAAACCACCAAAATTGTCATTAACCTCCACAGAGAAAAGGAGTGTATGTTAGACAACACAAACAAGTGAGCAACCAAAGTAGAGTTGAACATACACTCACCTAAAGGATCATTAGGTACACCGGTTCAACTTCTCCTTAACACACTTATCTAATCAACCAATCTTATGGCAGTTGCTTCAATGCATTTAGGTATGTGGTCCTGGTCAAGACAATCTCCTGAACTCCAAACTGAAGGTCAGAATGGGAAAGAAAGGTGACTGAAGCTTTTTTGAGCGTGGCATGGCTGTTGGTGCCAGACGGGCCGGTCTGAGTATTTCATAATCTGCTCGGTTACTGGGATTTTCCCCCGCAGCCATTTCTAGGGTTTCCAATGACTGGTGTGAAAAGGGAAAAACATCCAGTAGGCAGCAGTCCTGTTGGTGAAAATGCCTTGTTGATGCTAGAGGTCAGAGGAGAATGGGCTGACTGATTCAAGCTGATAGAAGAGCAACTTTGACTGAAATAACCACTCGTTACAACCGAGGAATGCAGTAAAGCCTTTGTGAAGCCACAACACACACAACCTTGAGGTGGATGGGCTACAACAGCAGAAGACCCCACCGGGTACCACTCGTCTCCACTACAAAAAGGAAAAAGAGGCTACAATTTGCACCAGCTCACCAAAACTGGACAGTTAAAGACTGAAAAAATGTTGTCTGGTCTGATGAGTCTCAATTTCTGTTGAAACATTAAAATGGTCGAGTCAGAATTAGGCATTAACAGAATTAGAACATAGATCCATCATGCCTTGTTACCACTGTGCAGGCTGCTGGTGGTGGTAGTGTAATGGTTTGGGGGATGTTTTCTTGGCACAGTTTAGGCCCCTTAGTGCCAATTGGGTATGGTTTAAATGCCACGGGCTACCTGAGCATTGTTTC